ATTCAAAAGTCTCTGCTTTGTTGCTGGGATGAGACGACTGGGTAGATACAAGTACCTCCCTTGACGACTTAGTCCACAATGGACAAGTTATCTCGACTGATGACAGATCACCAGTTCCCATATATTCAAAGAGCTTCTCATAGACTTCTACATATAGATGCCCAGCTTCCGTATCAGACATACGGGAGCTAATCGACCTCCAAAGACGGTAACGAAAAACGCAGTAGCGCTGAGACCAAAAGACATTGCCGCAGATGATCCATACTAATATAAACTGTAAAATAGGTCCCCCACACACCCCACGTATGATCTCTGGCGAGTAGGGGTTCGGGGGGGGAGGCGCGCGGGAGATATTCATTATCTAAGTAGCAACTCTTCTCGTCATCGCGCTTAATTTCCTCTGTGTAACACCTCTAGCCGAGAAAAACTCGCCCCAAGTGGAATAACCGGTAAACTTAGGTCGAGTATTATGGTTGTAGATGATGTTCTTTTGGACGCTGGTGAGATTATAGGTACATATCGTTGACTTTGTCACATTGATTGTTTATTCATCTATTTCGTTGGATTCTTCTTCCAAAAGAGCACCGCTAATCATTCAAACATATGGGACCAACCCACTCAAAACTACACATGAAGGGGCATGAAAGATATAAATGAAGAGGGAGGGGTCACTGTCTTCAAATTTGTTGATCTCAGTAACTCATATCTGCTTGGACAGCTGCAAGGCGTTTGGCAATGAGCTAGAAACGTCAGCTACTAGACTTGAAGTTTGACGCTGCGAGTGAGCACACCTCTCCACATCTGGCAGGTTCGTATTTTGCTGGATGATTTTCATCAATACAAGTCGGAACCACCCCGCATTTTTCATTGAAGTTGAATCCTTGAGCAGAATACTTGTCAGAAAGCCTGCCCAAGTAGTGAAGTGGAAGATCATTACCGAAGAACACCGGCATTGAATACCGATCATATTTGCTATGTTGGATGACTCGATGCACCGTAGACTTGAGTCTATCGTTTGTTAAGCGCATCAAAAAATCGCCAATATTGACGACAAAGGTGTTTGGGATGGGCGGTGCGAAGACCCATTCGTTTTTTGCATTCAATACCTGAAGACCCCGCTCATTAGATTGCCAGAGTATTGTCAAGATTTGAAGATCAGTATGCGCGCCCAATCCAATATCTTCCCGCTCAGCGATCGGTGTTTCGCCGTGCCCAGGATAGAAGTTCAACGTGCAATCTGCTCCTGGGTATGTGGTCACTTTGTCAAAATAATCTTCTGGTAGCTCCAAACCCAGAGCAAGGAGCTGGATTAATCGCCGACCAAGAGCAAGACAATTTCGCCAGTAAGTCAATAGACTGCTTTGGAAATCGGGGAGCCCGACATCATTCCAGATAAAACTGTCTTTGGGAATGTGATCCATTACCTCTTCCGGCACATCGTCATCACGGCCTTCATGGAGGGGGTCGAATCTTGGTTCGTAATGGAAGTTGAAGCCCTCTTTTGTGTCTGAGAGCACAGGGTATTAGGAAAGACCGCACATAACACTTCTTGAAATTCATTTACCTGCAGTGCTTGCTGGATTGACACGACGGGAGCCCCTGGCATGGTATCCATAGAAGGAGACATCCGGATCGGCCTTCACTTTCAATTTCGTCTCCAGAGGGAGATTGAAGAATCTATGGCCCATAAATCAGACACAGGTCAGACTGAGATGACAATAAGAACCACTCAACTCCTTAGCCTTTTCATGCGCATCGTGAATGCTAGATTCTGAGACACCATGGTTCTTGATGTAGAAGAAACCAGACATTTCGGCAGCTCGAAGTAGAGTATGGGCCAGGGCTTTCCGCTCTGTCAAACCACTACCAATAGCGCTTAGATCAATGACCGGGATCTCTTCGGGGGTGCAATCGCGTGGTGCTCTATTGCTGATATCGCGATATACGAATCCAGGATCCTCATAGCTTCTGAGCCACAGCCTGGTTGTTTCTCCTGCTTCACCTGGGAATGATACTGTTTCCGTGACTGTGCCCATTCTGATTGTCCGTTTAGTTAAAAAATGATAAGATCGCGAGTTCTCTGAGACAGACACAGAATGATTTCTTTTGTGAACCGATGGATGTCTCCTCAGCGTAGCTTCTGCATCTTTCAGAGCTCTGATAAGCGCTGACGATATGGTCTCAAAAATGTGGCTGCCGTATCGTATAGGGCGGATACCGTCGGAGTCCGATGATTTGGAGTGGGGAATGCCCAAATAGTGCCGACGGTTTTATTCGGGAGGGACTACCAAGCCTAAACCATCCAACTTTTCTCGGGCGACAGGTATACAAGAATATGCACTCACCGTCAAATAACCAGACAAAGGATACCGATGAGACGACCAATCGTATTCGTCGGAAACGATCCAGGATTGAGGACCTTGAACCTGCTGCCTCCGTGGTCAATGTCGCCCTAGGGGATGTCGCTAAGCGCCGCCGTCGCAAATTGTCATGCGAGACTTGTCAGAAACGAAAATGCCGCTGTGACTACGACCCAGTTACGAGAACTTGCCATAGATGCCGGACCTTGAGGTAGAATACCGGGGGTCTTTACTAGTATACATCTTAAAGATTATATAGCTAACCATTCACTTCAATAGGCTACATTGTTCATTTTCAGACGATGACTCGTTGGTAGGGGTGCTAGAGACCAATGCACCTGATGGAACAACCGGCTTTGAAGAGAGGTAAAATGGATATTTGCTTATCGAAGTTTTCTAGACCAATTTGAATGCTGATTGTCTCTCTTCATTAGACTTCAGAAATTCGAGAACTCTATTGTTGAAATCAAATCTGCATTATTAGACGTTCAAACCACCCTGCACAATGGCAAGAATACAAATGCAATGTCCGGAATCCCCGAGCCCAGATTCAATAATACTACATCAGAGCCGTCAAGTGACGATGTTGAACCTGAAGACATTTCTGACCCTGCGGACGCAGGGATTGGCTCGGCTCCTGCACTCATCATGCGAGAAGTGGCGAGGCAGTTTTTTGGTGGAAGCCGGAGACTGCTTGGGCAAGCAAATGCTGAGCTAGATATGGTTAAGAACGGACTGTTGGATGAGTATACGGCTAATGAGCTTCTGCGGCTGTAAGTAATCATGTTCATTATATCGATCATTCCTAGAAACCAAGATTGGCACTGATTTGTGAAAGCTTTCGTCAACATCGCGGACAAGGCCTTTTGATCTGGGACATAGATGATCCACTACTGGGCGTACATCTACGCGAGGCCTCGCCATTCTTGCATTCAGTATGCTGCCTGAATGGCCTGGCGTATTGTTCCGAAGAATCACCTAGTTCTTATCACGGAAAGGAGATCTATGAACGAGTACGACTCGCTCTGGGTCAAGCGCTGCTTGCGAGCCCTCTGCCTCTTGAGGAGATCAATGCGATACTGTTATTAAGTATCTATTCTAACAATTCGCCTAGCATAGTGAGTGTGCAATAAGGAGGTTCATCGGTTTGATACTAACGTCTAGTGGAGGGTAGCCAAGCGGACTACATAGACAGTTGGCTGCTCACCGGATATTGTGCTCAACAGGCTATGTTGAGTATTAGTTTCTCGGGCATCGTAGCAAATGTCAGAAGGGGGTGTGCTACCGAGGCTGATAGGCGCGCTATCCGTCTTTGGGCAAACATATGCCTACATCATCTCCAGTAAGATTTGCTGTTTCGTCAAGAGATTCTTTGATCGCACATCTAACAGCTCGTCACCAGTTGGGCTGCTGCTACGGGTAGACCGCCAACAATTCCCACCCCTTACCTGAATCAATGCAATATGCTCCTCAATGTCTTCCAAGCTACTGTCCAGGAAGGGATGATTTTGGCCGAGATTCTTCTATACATGACTTTGAACCGGAAGCTTGCGCGTCATTCCTACTTGAACACGGATGGCGAGTGCGTAGAATTCTCGGCCTGGCGACAAAGATGGTCGCATTTGTTTGGTTAGTTGGAAGCATATCTCAATACAAGCTGGGATAACTAACAACGCGTTTCAGCTCTTCCGAAATCGTCATCTCTGAAGCTGAGCTATCATGCCGCATACTTCATTCTCGCTGTCAGAAGTCTTGAAGATTTCAAAGACGGACAGTGCCCAGAGGAATTATTATCACCTGAAGACCAGACTGCCAACGCCAACCCCCGCCAGCAAAGCTCTGGAACCCATGAAGTACATGCGATGCGGTTCGCTATACATATTCTTGAAACGTTTCTTGAAGTAGCAACAAACAATGAGGTGCCAATTTACCTAAACATGTGCATATCGTACTCAGTGCTGGTTATCGCACAATATTGGCGAGAAGACTCGACCAAAGTCTCTGGAAGAGTCGTTCTAGATCTCCTGTCATCCCTGGAAGACCGCTACATGAACTATCCCAAGATGTCTTTGGCGACGCGATATGTGGCTGGACTCGCCAAGAGACATGTTCGTGCTCATATGAATATCTCATCTGCAACGTATGCGAGTGATGTTCCTCCACGAAATGGTCATGGAAGCAATCCATCAAATGAGACGCCGCTGTACTCGGCGGCCGAAGGGTTACTAGGTTTAGGCAGTTTCGGCGCTCAAAGCCGGTTATCCCCGAGCGTCGGACTCATTGATGATTTACCTGATCTTGGCTTAACACCATCGTTTCCGAGTATGGAAGATTTCTTCGGTGGTGGCTTCTTAGACTTTATCCGGTAGACCAATATGATACCATGTGTTCAACTATTCTACTCATGATGTGGCCCTATACGACAAGAGCCACCGTTCTGAACACTTCTTGGTCAAGTCTGCATTTATTACATTTCGCTACCACTCAATGACAAGCCTGCGTTGGATGTCTAAGCTCTTTGACATGTAGCTATGGGTCTATTTTCAACGCCAGGCTTGCTGATAGTTTGAAGTAACGTAAAAGAGTTTCGACCCAGAGGAGGTGCAGGGAATTTACCCGACGTTCTGCTACATAATCGTGTCATATCGCATTACTATAAGGCTCATATGCCGTATTCATGTCTCTTGTTTTCTTGTTTCCAACAGGTAGATTCCTCATTGCAATTCCCCTTCCCGTCCTTTCCCCGGCAAAATCATCTTCGGCGTTCCAATCGTCGTCCAAACGCCTTCGAGCGTCATCTGGGGATTCGACCACAACGGCCTCTTCACGGCCACCGACATCTGTTCGAACCAGAGCGGGGTGCTTTTCAACCTGGACGTAATTGTGCTTGTTCCAGGTCGGAATTCTCCCAAAGAAACCGGGCTTCTTCACATAAGGATCGTTGCCGACGGCGCCTAATGCGCCTCCTTCTGCATATGCACCTTCGATAGGACCAGCCCCCGTCACGAGAGCACCACCAGGTTTTCCATTCGGATCAATTGACCTTACAGCGCGCCGGCCCCGGTGGGCTGAAGAGGCGCCACGGGCTCGGATGAAGAAAACGGTGGTGGTGAGCAACGAGAATACAAAGGCAACCCACGACAGAGCAGTCAAGGTGCTGCCTGTCGAAGATTTGAGGCCGGAGTCACTGAACGCCTTGTTGAATGCAGAATCGAGCTTCTTGAAAGTGACCATAGCTGCAATGTTTCCTGCTAGAAGGAATAGGGTTGCACCAAGAGAATTCACAGCTCCCAAGATGCCAGCTTTAGGGAAGCGGGCGCTGAAAAGTGCCACAACCGGAGCAAAGGCGGCAAGTGCGGCGGATAGAATGTATGCCCCAGCGAGGAAACGGGAGACATTTGCATAGCTACGGAGAGCACTCGTGTAGTCGCCGTCGAAGGATCCAACGAGTGCGGTGCTGTCCAGCCTGAGATCGACCCTGGGATCAAATTTGAAGCCTATATGCGGAGGTGCACAGTCGACCTTGCTGCCAGTTTTCGCACAGGACGTCAATAAATGCAGTGTATAGGTGTTCGCGAGGCCGAGTGATGTTGCGCTCGCATCTCTGCCGACAAGGTCCGTTCCGCTTACGGTAGAGATATCGCGCAAGAAGGTCGAGTTCGAGAGTTTGGCTGGTACTATCAGATTGGCCGTATCGGTCTTTGGGGTCAGCAGGTGTAAGACTGAAAGAAGCGCGGATTCTTAATATACCCTCAAGTAGTACAAGTTTGTGAGTAGATTGTTGGTACCAGCAAGTATAACGAGAAGAATCAGAATGAAAGATATGAGGGAGAAGATGAAGGGGAGGAAGTTTAGAATTGGCTGTCTGCCCGCCATCCTTGTGAGGGTTGGGTTGGGAAACCAGGGAGAGTCGACCTGCGAGAGCTTCAGGGAGTTGACCGTTGATGGGGCACCGCTTGATTAAAAGACATGCGAACCTTTTCGCGACGCGTGGGCGACCCTTTAGTCGACTTCTAATTCAGCTCCAAAGAGAATGGCCACTTATTGAGACTCAGTTTCTGCTCTAATCTGAGATGTTTAAAGACTGAACGGAGCTGGGATTGTAAGCTTATCAACTTTATCTCATCTGAACCCGCTTGCGGAACACCGCGACATGGGACGGCCGCCTCTAAATTTGGGACCAGCAATGCAGACCAGGGTAGGCGAAATGCAGGCGGCACATGTCGACGCCGTTGTTCTTCAACATTGAAACACCACACGCACTGTACGTAAAACAGCTAAAGCTAAAGCAGAGGTTACGACGCTGACGTGAGCTACAGTGGAAGCAGCGCACAAAGGCTGGATGCTGGCCTCTTGATTTCTCTCTGACAAGCTTTCGAGTTGGTTTGCTGGCACCAATGAAGAATGCAACCAGGCCACCCTCTTACGAACTTAGCGCTCAATTTCAACATGGGGCCCGACCCGTCTCAGAGGGAGATCCTGTGGAGTTGGACAGATGCCCGATTTGGTCGTTCGTAGTAGGCTACGTCTCGGTATCGCCGCGTGGTTTCTCTTTGAAACAAGATGTTTGATGTGAATCAAAGTTCATTAGTAGTTTCGCTGAGGCGCAGGCTCGGAATCCATCTTCAACTGGGACGGAACGGAAGGTATCCGGATGGCTGAATGGAACTACCTCAAATTCAATCGTCGGAGATACTAATCAACTTCGAGAATTTAGGCATCGCTAGCAGTAAGCGCCGAATGTCCACCAGAAGTCTGGGCAAGTCATTCGACTCTTTCCCTGAAACGGCAGTCTGTCTTCCCGCCGCTGCACGCACCAAATTGGCTTGGTGAAAGCGGCTCATTGCTATTCGGCTTGTGAATTTCCGCCGCGTCGCTCAGACAAGCGCGCTGTGGCTGACTATTTTCGTCTTACATGCGTACTCGGCGGCGCATGTAGTTGGCTGGTTGGTTGGTAAGCTGGAAATAGACCAAGGGTCAACACAAAGGACCTGCTCCCATGCATGGCAAGCATTTGCAGCCACTCAGCACCAGTCTCGTTCGGCCGACAGATAAGAACTAGGACCCTTGGATGGCATCCAACTCAGTAAATTAAGGCTGCTTGTATGCCGGGAGAGATCCGCTTTAATAAGGCATCATCCCAAGCCAATTCTCGACTCTACGCTCTCGTTTCTCTCTCGACGACCTTTGCAGGCACTGAACCAAGATGATCCGGGCTTCATTTACAATAGTGCCATTGGCATTATTGGCGTCGATTGTACAAGCCACGAATTATGATGTGACTGTTGGGAAGGACTCTCAACTCAAATTCGTCCCCGAAGCTATCAACGCCCAGCCAGGAGATACTGTGACTTATCATTTCTTTGCGAAGGCAAGTATCGATCGATAGCAACGCCCGAGAAACCTGACTTACAAATTCAAGAACCACTCTGTAACTCAGTCATCTTTTGCAGATCCTTGCCATCCATTGGATGGTGGTTTCTTCTCCGGGTTCACGAAGACGGACTCGCCCGACGTTGCGGCAGCCACAACATTTCAAATCACTGTACATGATACAAAGCCCATCTGGGTATATTGTAGCCAAACCAATGGCGATCATTGTCAGAAAGGCATGATCTCAGTCATCAATGAGTAAGAACAGGGCGGAGGATATGATATGACTTCAGACACTTGACTGACCTTCACCGCAGGCCAACTTCCGGAAACACACTGGACGCGTATAAAGCCAAGGCCGCAACGGCTTCAACAAGCACCTCGCCTCCTGGCGGGTTACCTGTCGGGGGGACACGGACTTTGCACATTGATGTCGGTCTGGGAGGAAACCTGACTTTCACGCCAAACAATGTTACCAATGAACTGCCAGGAACAGTTGTCGAGTTCAGTTTCAATCCAGCGGTAAGTTCTCCATGTCTCACCAGGAAGAAGAGAAAATGACAAAGCTTCTCTAGAATCATTCCGTGGTGCAGTCGTCTTTCCAAGATCCTTGTCATCCGTCTCCAGGTGGCTTTTCTTCGGGATTTATGCCAACCTCAGCTTCCCCCTCGGGTATACTGTTTGATGTTGTCCTCAATGACACAAAGCCAGTCTGGTTCTATTGTGCGCAGACCAAGAAATCGCACTGCCAATCTTCCATGCTAGGCTCAATAAATAGCCCAACCTCTGGCAATACCCTCGAAGCTTTTATCGAGCTAGGAAAAAAGGCATCAGAAAGCACAATTCCTCCAGAAGCTCCACTTGGCGGCATTCTCACCGTAAATGGCACCGTTATTGCAAGTCTCAATGGAAATGTCCTGAATGTCACGGCTCTTGACCAAGACACCATCGGCCGGGTTCCGCCGCCTGGGCAGAACATGTCTGATTACATTGCCGGCATGGCTGGCGGAGGCCCACCAAACAGCTACAACTGGGCGCCCCAGATCAGCGACAATGCAACGGAGCATTTACAAATACTACAATGGTTTGACAATATTCTGCTCGAAATTTTGTTTGATGGATACAACAAGCTGAATGGTGGCGCCTGGACACACGTGTATCCAAAGTCGATCGTCGATATCTTGGGAGCCTTGGCTTCACAGTCTCTTGTCCATCGTTCAACCGCAACCGACTCTTTGCAACATTACCAGAAGCCTGTCCTTGGAGTCTGTACATACAATTTGCCGACCATGAATGTGGACTCATTTCTTCACGCAGCCCTGACAGTCTTATTGCTTGAGATTGGTATCATTCTAGATATCATCGGCCTGGTTGCCACAACCGACCCTTGGATGGTACCTGCCTTGGCTACTCATCTGGGCAGCAAGAGTCGAATGGCAGGTACCGTCAATCTCATGCAAAATCACATGGCTGCAGCGGCACCAAGAGAAGTTATGATGCCAGCTGAATTGGCATATAGCTATGCAATGAACAACTATGTTTCCAGTTGTCCAGACAAGATGGACTGGCTGGGTACTCCGCTGCCACCGCTCCAATTCACCAACACCCAAAAGCTTGGTAGCACCGACCGTGTGACTAGCGCAACTATTGCCATTGATGCGAGTCTGCAAAAAGATGGGCAGCTATTCATTGCTTGGATCGCTGCTTGGGGCAGTCTCACCTTTACGCCGGTCCAGAGCGACGGCTCCGTGCAAGTGCCTACGTCGTTATACGGCCATGTCTGGGCTGTGCTAGTAAAGCAGGAAAATGTCAAATTGAGAGACATCCCTAGTGTTGCAGTCGCTGGCCCGGAGATTCTATGGGTTGCGGGCATGTAAGGATAGTGAAGTACACAAGGAGTTAGGCTTAGGGAAATGGAAGGCTATCTGGGCGTTTCAGATCGGTGTTTTCATAGCCCTGTGGAGTTACTTAGAATATACCATTCAGCGATCCTACTACCGTTGGCTATGGACCTCAGCATGAATGCACAATAGTCTGCTCGATAAATACCCAGTATGAAATACTACGGGAAGAGAGTTGAACTCTGCCGAGGAAGTTGACAGGTCCAAATCTCGGCGAGCAAAGTAGCAGTGAATTGTTGTGACAGATGAAGAGGACCTTGTGGAGGAGACAGCATTCAACAAGTCGGAAGATTTTATGATAGATTGGATTCAAAATAGACTGCCAGCGCACGCATTGTCTTTGAAACAGGTGCAATACACCCTTAAAGCGAGGATGACGAACCATCTATTTCAACATTTCCATATTTCCTTTCAATCAAAGATAAAGTATTTGCCCCAATCTTTTAGAGTGATGGATGTAGCTATACTAATCACCAATCTCTTCGTGGCTCTAATGCTTAATAGGACTCTCGCCATTCTTTCTCGTTACTCCTGTGGAGTTACCGTTTATTACCGTGGTGGTGAGAAGTTGAAACGTTCAAACTGTGACGACAATTGTCTTCAGATCGCTTGTACAGAAAGTCAGGAGATTCATAATCTTGCAAACGAACAGTGTTTTGATCATTATATTTGATGCGATTGATTACATCATAGCAGTAACTGTAACTTTACCGAAAGCGTAGATTATCGGCACAATAGTTCTATGAGTTGGAAGTTTATTGCAAAAATTGGTCTTTGCTTCGTCCACATGCTTGAGTATGTCTTTCATGTACGATCCAAATCCCCTCAACAACCTGGCTCTTTATCCCCTTTTCTTTTCATTTGATTTGCTAGCCTTGGCAATCCCACAACTCCACCGATAAATACATTATTATGAGTAAACATCTTTGCCTATGTATATGAACCATTTCCGTCCCATCCTTTCAAGATACTTTCCCAATCCATATCATACCAAATTTGCTCATCCAGGATTCCATCGAACACAGATCCTGATGCATTATAGTACTCGCCGTTAAGATCTGCTTCTTGGATTTCCGGCATACTGTTGCGTCTGCAGTTCATTACTTTTGCTACCATCTCTTCCACATCTGATAGCAGATATCTGTGATCTTTTGATGCCGGGTTTCCGACTCGCACCATATCATCTAGTAAAGCCCGCGCCTCCATGTAGAGTGTAATATCCTCCTTGTACACAGAGAAATTGTCAAATGTACATCTCCTTGGCTCGTTAGGGGGTGTAGATACTGGCTCTAGTAAGCTGGGACTCGCCGGCTTCTGATCAAACGCCTGCTCCACAACAACCTGTGACAAGGAGAGAATGGCTAAAGAAGAAAAGAGATGTAGAGACTCCCAATACCCAAACTTTGCTATGTTGGTATTAGCCTAGGAAACTAGAAGGTCGATGCCCAAGGAGCAGTATTCCTTACCGATCTTCTCAATTTTCCAAAGGTCTGTGAGAATCTTTGCATTATAACGCGCGGCCCGGAGACATTCAAGCTCCCAAGATATCATGCCGTCACGAGTCGTTGCTATTATAGTCGTATCTTCTGGATGTGTCTTTTTGTGGTTTTCCTTCAAAGTAGGAGAGGAGAGTTCCCGAAGAAACAGCGGCCTAAGAAGAAGGATGAAGCACTAGCGTAATCATTTAGTATAGACACGGGTTGAAAAGTAAGGATGAAGACTCACCTGGTGATATCGTAAGTACAAGCTAGCTAGTACCCGAACGAATGGGAGCTCTAGCATCCTGGGTGATATGCCCCTTTCGAAAGTGAATGACATGTGTTCAGGCAGCCCTCTCCTCCAATTCTGCAACAAATCCAGGCAAGGGCGGATTATATCCAAAGGCCATCCGTTGTCCCCAATCAGAAGATGCTGTGTAACCGTTTCAACTACCTTGCTCTTGATAGAACAAAGCTGTACTTGGGCCGTGAGGAGGTGAGGATTGAAAAACTCTTCGATCTCAACTGGTGATAGGCCGCTAGATAAAGGGAGTTGCAAACGCTGACCCGGGATCTCACTGCTGGTTGCAAGACCTAGCTCGGTACTAACCATTCTATCCATACAAAAAGACGTCCACCAGATTCGTTTTCGATGCTCAGCTTCGACTCGCCCCACATGGTTACTTTGAAACCCAGTGTCATCCGATTGGAGCGGTTCATCAAGCCGTAGTAGCCTTGCAAGCCTTACACTTTGGCCTGCATAGAAATATGCCGTTCTCCGGCGGTTCAAGGAATAACAATAGAATGCCTTCAATACAAGAAATACTGTCAGTGCTTGGTTTATGTAAGGGATTCATACAAGCAGCAACGTTAACCGTACAATGAGGTTTAGAGCCTGTACATATTCCACAACTGGCTCTTCTAAGGACAGCTTTAAGAGTAGCAAGGCTTGTTCGAATAGCTCAGAGCCTGGCGGAGGTGGCGTGGGGGTGTCTGATATTGACGTGCTTTCATTTACTGTGCCTGATTGAATTGACTGGCCTGACTTCCAATTTTGAAGAGACTCGCTGGTGACGGCACCAGCCAAAGAGGAACCGACATATGCCCTACTATGATTCCAGGACTCCGCAAGGGCTAGAACAACTGAGACGATACAGAGCCAGTTTCTGTCGTCTGCTTGAGAAGCCGGGTTTGAATATGTCAGAGAAAGACGGTCATGAAATCGCTTTCGCAAGTACCAATGATAATCGCAGAATCCCTCCTCAAATATTTGAAGTAGATGGAACGCGTAGGGTCTCGGAGGAAGTTTGAAGGAAACCTCGGAATCTAAAGAGCCATGAGATTTTTTTTTCTCCCCAAGTTCATTAGACTACTTACGAATGAAATCGAAGTTCAGCTTCGAGTATGTGTATCGCGACGAACTCGGGGATGTCGGGGATACGCCCTCAGGTCCATAAAGCGGAAGCTCATTGGGATGGTGTAGGGAAACTTTTTTAAGTTTCTGCACAAAACCTTCTGCACTACAGTCTTCCAGTAACTGATCAAGTTCAGGCGTTGATTTGGGTGAGAGCTTGTCACCGTCTTGTCGGCGCGTGCTGCCGTTATCCTGTTTACTAGAGTCTCCTACAGGTCTTCGATCAATCTCGACACCCCTTTCAAGGCTGCGGAGGTAACTCTCGGGGATAGCCAAGAGCCTTTCCTTGACAGGATACGAGCAATCGCGTCCTCGAGCTCGACACCTCTGACAGGGGGTATCTTAATGGTCAGCTCTGAGTATGGAAGCAGCAAAGGCTTAGGACTCTACCTCCGCTGCACTTGACCTTCAAACCATGACACGCAAAGCATGCTACAGAACTCCGTCCTCTGTATCGCCCCATTCTTCGATAGTGACTGCTCGATACACTGTCCGTAACTCAGGCGTAAGTCGACCTCCATAGCTTGCAGTGGGGAGGAAGCGGTGAGTAGCGGCACATCATCGGTATTGGTGCTGTTAGCTGGGAATAGATACGCTGCCTTTCGGTGGAGCACCGTTATCTTTGAAGAATTATTATCAATGCTAAAGGGGGCTGCCCTAATCATTGGGGGCGGAGGCATTCCAGCTGTGGGGTTTCCACAATGTGGAGAAATATGTGCTTAGCAATGTACACCATGTCTGCTCAGGTTTCGAACTCTATGGCTATTGTCATATCGGAAAGAAATCCTCGATAGTCACTTGTAGAATAAGGTTGTAGTATTTCTCACCCTTATTGAAATCGCATGCCTAATCATCATTTTGTCTTGGCGAGACTCATAAGAATGAAGCGAAAGTGCTCTGACTGAGCTCTCGGGCTACTTCACAGTCTACTCCACGTCCATGGCAGCTCTCTTGCAGGCGCGTGCCTCGACTTCCAACCACTCAGCTCTGAAATATCTCTCAACGGCCATGGATGCGGATCCTTGTGATCTTTGGGTACCTTTCCCCATTTCCACTTCCACAGTTCGAGCCACTCTTGACCCAGCTTTCCTTCTAACATATCCACAACATATTTGCCAATGACAGGTAGAAACTTGAAGCCATGATTGGACCCAATGGTTGCAACGTAAAGGTTCTTTTTCTCTGGATATGGGCAGATGCGGAAATTCAGGTCTCCCGCCATGCCATCCCTGTGAAATGAAGTTGTAAGCAATGTGTATCGTACAAGATGTGGTGCTTGGGCGTCTTTGTTGCGGCAAGTTGCGATAAGTTGCGGCAATGAAATGTGCTGACAGAGTGCGAGCACTGAAAGTGCAACTTACCAACATAGCTTAGTAGAGATAAAAGGGCGATCTGCCAGTTCTGGTATCATTTCACGAACAAAGGTTCGCATTTCATCTTCAATCTCTTTAGGGCACCCGTCATAAGGATAATCGCCTAGTGAATGCAGAAGAGATGCGCCCGGCACGAACTTGTTTTTGTAGTTGGTAAGACAGCGGCAGCTGCATAGCTTGATCAAGCCATTTTCGTCGGGAGGGAATATAATACCTGTAAAAAGTTGAGCAATTGCGCATCAGACTAAGTAAATGGACTTCCTGACCTTGTTCGAAGTCATCAATGATCGGAATGTTCTGATACTTCTCAACTTCATGGGGCTCTAGTTTCATGACACAAATGACAGAGCACTGGGCTACAACTTCCTGCTTTGCGTCAACTAGTGTTGCCGTATTTGCACCTGACGCCAGTAAGACAATATCAGCCTTATGGGACTTGCCATCGGCCTATGAGAAATAATGTGTTAGCGACTTTCTGACAAGCATCTTGGCGTAAAAGAAATATACTTCATTGAATATATCAATGAATCGGCAATTTCGAAGTTGGGCATCTCATTCTGGGAGTCAAATCTGATCCTCAGGAACACATAAACGTTGCTTACGCTGAGGACTCCAATGCATGTACCACTATTGTCGTACAACAGGCTCTTGACGTAGCCGGTATCACCAGTGATGTATTTGACGCCATTTGACCGGGCGGCATTGGCCATT